ATTCGTCGGTCGGCCTATGTGGGTTAGGTAATGAAACGTGTTTACCTCTAGCGCTCGGGAGATGCGGCGCAAAAACACGATGGGGGACGGAATGGACAAGTAAAAATCCAGAGACTGTAGGATAAGTTGCTCGCATGTACGGATATCGCGTTTAGTATACGTATTATCAGTTATAGATGAAAAGTCGCCAATGTCTGGTGGATACATTTCCTCGAATTTAGAGGCAATAAAAAGGGCGGTGATGCCGACTAGCTGGAAGAGGTCTTTTGTGATTCCAGACCCGCATTTCTATGGCAATTGCTGTTAGGAAATCAAATAAATTACCTGTAAGTAACGATCCATAATTGCAATGCATAAATACAATGTCTCCGGCTGGAGCTTGTAGCTTTGGTGCACTTGAACCAACCAATTAACCAGGATGTATCTCATCCTCGGACTTATTTCAGTGCAGGCAGACAAAAAGGTTGAAGATAACGGTTGGCATCGCAACTCCTCCGTCTGTAAATAATTGAAGATAGTCTCGGCAAAGACTGAAACTGAAGCTGCGTCACGCGCTGTGTCCTTGTCAACATCCATATAGATAGACGAGTTCTCGCCGGCGAGCAACATTGACCTTATAGCTTTTCTTCGCTGGCAGAAAGTCTGCAGCTCATTTATTTCTGCCTGCGTAAGGTCTTTAAGTCTTTCGTTAAGCAGCGATTGCAGATTGCGCGTGGATTCCTGATCCGCCTGAATAGGTTCTTGGGGTGCACCCGGCTTCTTAAAAGACTTGTGAGGCAGGGTTTCAACGTTCTGCAGTTCCCCCAAAGCGGCTCGAGACCTTGTGTGCACATTAGCTTGAGTGCTTGCTTTGTTATCAAATGACTTTGCAAATGCGCCTACATTTTCATCCCGCTGTAATTGCAAAAAATGGGGAGAATTAATGTGATGTAATTAACTTTAACGAAATATTATAAGACACAGAGCCGCAAAGCAATGACAGCGGGCAACGCAAACTTTAACGACGCTCATATCCCGTTCTGGGATTACATCGCCCTCCTTCATTTGGCAGTAATAATGGACGTTGGAAACAAGGTTGCTACGCAGAGAAATTTTAGGGGTTTATCGCAAATCGCTACCCTGAGGCGTAGCCGCAAAAGAGAAGGCTGAAACTGGCAGGCGAGACTGTTATCATTAAATTGTGAACCACTGACTGCAATAAATAGGGCCTATCCATAACGTTAAGCAGCACTGGGGGTTTTAATATACACGGACTCCAGGGCGAGAGTACAGCCCATGGAGCTCTATGATCGTATAAGACGTGTCCGCGGTCAATAATCATACTAAGATAACTCGACCTGCAACCTTAGGAAGGGTCATGAGGAAAAGACATCTGCACTTTCGAATAAATGTTCTTGCAAGCAAGAATCACACACAAGCTCAGCGCAGGTCGTAGTGTGTGCTTTAAAGAAAGATTTAGGTCCAACAACTACAAATCAAGCTCTCAATGGCTAAGACACAATTACTTTAAGCAGACGAACTTACATGAACACCAGAAACACCGAGCCGACTACGAGTTAACATAGCGCCCAAAATTCAAAATCAACAGAGGACGTTTGACGCGAAAACCGGACCGGTGAGTTATTTCAGTTTTCCAAGCAGTTAAACAAATCGATGGGACAGTGTATCAGGCATTTTCTGCTTCCATATTTTCATTGAAAAATATAAGATTAAGTCTCTTAACCCGGTCTGAGCTCATTTTTGCTTAAAATCGAAAGGAAGATACGAAAATATGTAGATAAATACTGGGTAGCAAAAGAGGGCGCTGCAACGAGTAACGGGTAAGACGTTGGAACGGGGTAATCGAATAGAAGCTCACTACGTGTAAGAATAAGATTTATTTATTTTCGTGGTTGAGTTTTTAAGGTGGTCATGGTCTTATTCTAATCAGTTCTACGTTTCAAGTATATGATTGATTATATGAGCTACCTGCACTACAGCGCCTTAATTCATGCTGAGATCAAACTGTGGAGAAGCATCAGGTCCAGAATTCACTAGAGTTTTAGTTGACTCTGTTTGCTGACTTTTAATTTTTAATATTTATTAGTGCGCGCTCGGGTGACTTCGCACCAGAAGGACCAACGAGGAGGAAGACGCTTTCCGGTATATTTTGGTGGCCAGAAACATGCAAATTTTTAGGAGCAGCAATGCGTCGGTGTTTTAGTGACATCCTCGCTTAAGCGATTGTCGCAGTGTTTAAGCGTAGCTAAAGGTGTGGGTGGTACCATTCTCGCTAATATAGCCCTTTTTACATGTAGATAAGGACGTGTTCGATAAAACCTAAAAGACTAGGTCGATTTCACATTGACGGTTCCGTACAAGTCTAGCGTCCGTAGCTCAATAAGAATTAGTGATAAGTGCTCCTCATACGGTTCAGCATGGTCTTTTTGAAAAGGATAAACCTTTCACATTGCTGTCCTCCCTTCCGCGATATGTCCTATCTGTGTTCATGAAAGCCCTGTTCGGGAGCA